AATTCAATTTGAAGAAAGCTAGACGTAAAATCGAGGACCGATACAAAGTTAGGGTTAGGAAATCTAGCCATTAGGGACTCAATTGATACTGGGGATTCAGCGTCAGCAACTATGACTTTATTTAGTTGTCTAGCATCTAAACATAATCTTGTGTCTCCATCCTTTTTAAAGACTGGAATTATTGGGCTGGAATAAGGACTACTACTGTCTTCTAAGATACCAATATCCAGCCAATGCTGAATAGCATTTCTTATTCTTAAACGGTCACTTAAGCATACAGGCCAAGATTTTCTGTTGTAGATTTCATGGGGAATGGTTACAAATTCAGCTGTGTATTTATTACATTTGCCTGGGATTTCGGAAAAGACATTTCTATTTTCTGTTATGAGGTTGTGAAAAATACGTGTTTGTTCAGGTGTGGCATGTAAATTAGACAAGTGATCTACAATTTGAGCATCTGTGAGTTTTGACGATGTGGTACTTACAATATTTACTTCCAAGCCTTTTACATCTAAGTCTAAGTTATCTATAATTTCATTTGGTTCATCATAACTAATTTGTATTCTGTTAATATGTGGATTGTTAAAATGTGGATTGTTGGTTGGTTTATTGATACTTTTAGAAATTTTTTCTGCAATGAAGTCTGCAAGTTTACATTTTCCATTAATATTCAAGTGTAATCCATGTTGGGTGAAGTCATTTCTAGAGAAAAGAGAGCTCGATCTTATCAATGTGCAATGTGTACCTTGTAGCTGCTCTTTCATGTGGAGGTTCAAATCCTTTATCAGCTTATCACAGTTGCTCCCATCATACCTAGGAAATATCTCAAACAAGAGTACTTTGCAGTTAAGCTGTTTTAGCGTGGCAAGGTTTAATGCTGTTTTCAAGTGTGGTTTACTCGCTGCAGGCTCAATGTTGTTGGTACCACCTATTATGATGATCAAGTCAGATGGCTTCAGTTCATTAGCTAACACTGATAAATCTTGAATTACCACATGAAAAAGCGCGCCAGGTTTACATTTCACCTGCACATTCACATTTGAAAGTCGAAGGGATAACAGATCTGACAAATCATGTCCATGACTGTCGGTAAAAATATATACGTTCAATGGTTGCTCTGACATAGAGATGGAATTAATATTCATAGGTACAGTAGAGACCCAGGGTACTTTGATGTCACCCTCTCCTAAGATAAGGCATTTGCGATAACAGTCTAATAATGCTCTATTCTCTTTCAAGAAGTCGATGCCTAGGATTAAATTTACATTCAGCTTTGGGACTACACAGACAGATTTTGGGAAGATATGATCTCCAAATTGAAAGTTAATGTAAACTTGACAAGTTATATTTCGAGATTTAACACCCGTCGCTCCTCTGATGAAGAGAGCGCTGGATGGCAACGTTGGAAATTTAAATTTCGTTAGGTTTTTTACATTTTCAAAGAAGGCTTGGTCAATGCACGTAGCGTCTGCTCCGGAGTCAACTAAGGCCTCAAATTCGTAATTCTCAATTTTACATATAACAGTAGGAGCTTTATGGCGGATGTTACTGACAAGATTGTCCGGTTCTTCAAGCAGAAAATGTTGATCATCACTCATGATTGTGTTTGACTCATAATTAAAGGACAGAATGCATTTACTACGAGAGACATTAATAGCTGCTATCCAATTCTGTAGTATAGCTTTAACAGTGCTGGAGGAGACATATCCAGGGTAAGAGTGTTGACTTAAGTCAGGCAAATTTTCAAAACGCAATATTTGAAAACTAGTGGTCTTATCTCTCTGTAGTGGATCAAACACGCACTGATTTATGAGGTTCATAGGACGCTGAACACTTTGGTCCTGGTTGAAGAAGAAAAATTCTAGTAGGAACACTGGTATTTTCTGGGATAACATTTTGAATGAGTTTAGTGATAAGTTGGAAATGATTTGGATCAAAAGCGATACTACTTCATCTGAAGTTACTGGAAATTCGATGTTCTTAAGTTGAACAAAACTGTGATCTGTTAAGAGAACGTTCTCATCGAAACATACCAGCAAGGAATAAAATTCAGAACACTTGAAATTTTCTAATAGGTTGCACAGATCTCTTAAGCTAATGTTAGGTTGCTCGTGGAGTACCTTACACTCATAAACAATGTTTCCTAATTGAAAGTTTCCTAAAGGGATTTCAAATGATTTTGCCATCACCGCCAATAATCTATAAGTGGACTTCTCACTCTTCAAGACATTGATAGTAATCTCGCAGAAGATATAATTTGATTTAATTTGTGCTGGGTCGGCTGCTTTAACCGCCCAGCACCCCTCTAGTTTAAAGATTCATCATTGGGATACAACATTGGTGGAGGCCTCGAGGTGTCACAGGAAACCTGATGGATGTTCGTGCTTGGTTTTGCTGATGCCAAGTTTAAGATTTCAGGATCCTCATCAAGGATTCGCAACGCCTCGAGTGCCTTCTCAATGGTTCGGCAGCGACTCTGATGTAGCCCGAGACGTACTTCAGCAGGAAAATGTTTAACAATTGTGGATACCAGAACAGATTCCGGCATTTTCTCAGTCAAGTACTGAGCTTTGTGAACAAATTTCATGAAGTATGTAGCCATATCTAAACTACCCTTCCTGTATTGATTCGGTTTGAAGAGTTGTCCCCTAACGTTATCTTGTGCTTGTTCACCCCAAAAAAACTCTAGAAATTCTACGCAAAAATGTTCAAAATCTTGATCTGTGTTCTTAAACTTATACATGTTATACCAAGCTAATGCTTTACCTTCGAGCAGTTGAGTTAATTCAAAAAATTTAATTTCGTCAGGTACTCGCGACGATGAGAAATGTACTTTGACGGCTTGTAAAAATTCAACAGGATGTGTGGGAGTGAGTTTCCCATTAAATTTTGGAAGATCCTTAACCTTCAGCGACGTTCTGTACGTGGAAGGTCCACGCTTATGAATTTGAATTTGGTTATCAGGGGTACTACATCTACTGGACGAGTCTCTAACAGCAACCTGACTTGGCAATTCGTTCTGACGATTTGAATCATGAAGACTGACCGCAGGCACGGCTGACTGACACAACTGACTTCTAACTATAGATGGAATTTCCTCGCGGAATGCTTCTAGTTGTCTCTGAAAGTTAATTGATAATCCTCTCATCTCATTTAGTAAACAGTTCAGGTCTATCTGGGCTTCAGCTCTCTCAGGTCTCTGCCCATGAGTCCTCTCTGGTTCCGGCGTCTCAACTCTAAAAGGGTTGGTCTCTCCTCTTGGCTCATATCTGTGCTCTTCTGTGTGCGGAGGCACATTACTGAAGTTCATGAAGTCATTCGCGTTAGATTCAATTAGGTCATCCAAACGAGGCTGTTGCCGGCCCCCATGATTCAGAAGTTCTGGTGAGGATTCAAAATCCTGCACATGGCCTGGATCTGAAAAGTGTATGTTCCTGCGGACATGTAAGTTATTAAACGGAGGAGTCATCTGTGGCGGCATGTTTCCAAACCTGTTACCTATTGGGTCACTGTGGTTACGATTCATTTTACCTAAAGAATAAATGCACAATCGTTATACAAAAGTAGCTATAACTAGATGATACAATCTTACGAGGAGTAACGAAAGGATGATCCCGGTACGAAGGTAGTGAAGAAGAGTTTCCCGAGGAGTGATTGGTTGTCCGTCCCAAAGAAGCTGCAAGAAGAGGTGAAGATCCGTGATTAGTATGGTTGAACAACAGCAAACAGTATTGATTGGCGCCAGGGTAACCTTGTCCAGCCAGACTTGAAGAAAGTTCCAGAGGAGAGTCCTTATGTGTCTCGCACGCTGCTTGTCCACCCTCGTTGAGCGTGGAAAACCGTCACGCTTCCAGCATCTGAGGTTGTAGCCTCTAAACAGGAGCCGTTCTAGCCATGGCTAGTGACTGATGAAGGACCGGATCAATTTAGAAGAAGAAAACTGTTCACCGGACAAAGTTATTCTGTTGCGATGAATAACTAAATTAAAGTTTAAACGAAGAATTGGACGGAAGCCGTCCATGAGGCAGATGATCACACTAACAGTCACATTAAACGGGGAAGACGAAAAGATAGCCACGAGTTGGGCGCCAGCTGTAACGATGCTGCCGGGGCAGCACAGGGAAAGCACGCAAAGAAAATCAGAATACACGGATATATGGATGATAGGGAGACTCGCCGACCGGCCCGAACACAAATGAAGAAGACATGACTAAAGAAATCACCCCAAAAGGGTAATTTCCCCCTAAGAAAACTCACATTTTGGAGTGACGAAGACTTGTACGCACCTGCTAAAACGACAAGGACCGAAGTGAAGTAAGATGGCGTCTTCGCATAACCGTCCCTCTCTCTATCTGGTGTCCGCCTCTCCCATTGGTGGATCAAGTCATGTGACTGGATCCGCCAATAGGAGTACAGACACCAGACAGAGACAGGGAGGGAAATGCAAATATCAAAGAATACATATTTATATGTCACACAAATTTTGCTTCTTGCAACTGGCGGCAATTACAGAATTTTTTCACTCATTTGGAGCCTTTTCATAGTATATGTTAAAAAAGAAGGTGCACATTCTTCCAGTCTATATTTCATAATTTGTAGTGTCCGTATCAAATAAGTTTGCTCATTTTTAGACTGTGACAGAAGATCATCTGACGTCATTCTCACATAGAAAGAAAATGCAAAAATCAAGATAGCGGATCTTCTGTTGCAGTTTGAAAGTGCGTAAACTTACTAGGCGTAGACTCAAGCCAGGTAAAAAATTTTGATGTACATGAGTTATTCCCTCGAAAAACGTACTGAAAAGAAAAATCTGTTGGCTTTCCAAATTTTGCAATGCTGTGTAAGATATTGGACTCTTTTTGGCAGGCTTAGTATGGTCTCTTTCAACGAAACTATCTTTGAAAATTTGTTTCATCAAGTTAAAAATTTTGTTAATTTTACTGAGTTCACGGGGATTTATCTCTCAAATAATTTCCATCAATGTTTGAAGCAAGGAAGAACATGCCTGCACAATTTTGTTATGGATTGTACCCTCATTTATGTACTCAAGCAATTTTAATCCTCAATCTTGTTTTCATTTTTCAGGATGCGATGTTCTTTGAGAAAGCAGGAAATGAAGAAACAGATCGCCCGGGAATGTTTTGAAGAACTTTTTTCAAGTGAGTCATCATCTTAAGGTTACCGCAATAAAAGATTTAGAAAAGATAGGGATTGTGGGTATGGAGTTAGAGAAGGGATAGCGGATTGAGTGGGTGCAGAATGCGCAGGTAGGGGTGATGCAATAGAAGTGAAAAAGGAGGTAGGGTTTGGAAAGGGTAGTGGACACGCCCAGCGTTAAGTTTTTTGCGCTAGGATTTTTGGCGTTATACCTACCTCACCTTACCATTTTATATGGAGTAGGATTTAAAATGAGGCTCGCAACATTTTAAAAAAAAATTTCCAAATGAAGCAAGGATTCTGGAGTCTTTTAAAGGCTCACTGGTAGAAGTGCTAAAATGTGTGTTTTTAAGAACAAGAAATTTTCTTACGAAGGACTACACGTGGAATACTAAATAATTCAGCCCAGGCTGAATTGCAAGATTTTTTATTTGTTGTTCCTTACGAGCTCCTGAGAAAAATAATCTTTTAAAATCGAACCTTCTGTGTGTCGATCTAGAAAAAAGCAGGGCTGAAAAGTGAATTTGTATGCATTTTCACTTGCAATACCTGGTAAAAAAATCGGAACATCTGATGAGTGATTGAGAAGATCTTTTGTTTCCTTGCCAGTTGAGGAGATAAGAAAGACGAAAATAATCAACTTTTTTGGAGTGATAAGAGCCTGCGGCGTAGTATCCACATACATAGCAACAGTCTCACATCCGCATCAGAAAACTCGTGTTTAAAGGCCAAAATATTGACTTTTCAGCCCTGTTCTTCTCGAGATTGGCATTTGGCACCCAGGAAGTTTGATTTTAAAAGCTCATCGTGTTCAGGAGGTCTTAAGAAATAAATATCAAGAGGGGCGGCAGCACCAAATTTTTTAGCGTTAAATGTGTCCTTTGTTTGTAGGGCTTATATTTTAGTCATTCATCAGCTCGGTACCTTTTATTTCAACTCCAGATTTCACAAATAATTTTGAATAAAAATATTTCCTTAACTGTGAATCACACTCATTTTTATGAAAATCTTTAATCTTGTGTTTCCGCTCTTTATCTCATTGAAGATATTTAAATTCGATTTTTACAGATGGTGTTTTGCGGCGCTTCTGTTTCCTATGCTTAATGGCAACCCCAAAATGTTCTGTATGCCTTCATTTTCTCCATTCAAGATCTGAGCCTTCGATTTTGACTTTATACCTCCCTTGAGATGGACCACTGAAATATGACAAGAGAATGAGCTGAATTTTTTAGTAAGCTATCAGGTTGAGTCATACTATCATAGGCGCATCTTTTCGTAATTTTTCTAGAACCAAGCTGTTTGTTTCAAGTCTCACAATTTTACATCTCCTTTGATGCATCATCTTAGACTTTCTCTTTTTGAAACAACTCAGGAAGAAACCCAATCGAATGTCCAAACTTTTCAATGTCACAGAATTGGTAAATCATAATGTATCGAGTATTTCAGCTCATGTCATTTCTTAAATTATCTGCTACATAGCTTTTGAATTTCAGTATTGGCAGTGCGCTGCAGGGCTTTTGATCTGCTCATAGTTTTTAGTCTAAGTGTAATCTACCGTTTTTTAATTATTCCTTGCCATATTGAATTTTGCTCCATTCATTTGCTCTCTTTTCCCCGTAATTTTAAGGTTTATATTGAGAATCAGAAAGGGCGGGAAACGATATGAAAAGAAAATAAATAAAACCATCATTTTCCGGTTGAATTTGAAAAACTGGTGCTGCACTATGGTCGTTGATATGGCTTGGGCTTCAGTATTTACAGGCATTTTTAACCAAGCAACCTGGGAACTTTGTAATAATTTTTTTTTACTTTCTGCAACAGTAAGCATCCTATGTTCACTTAACACAAGACCAGGTATAGGCGATGTATTGTTACTTAGCTCTTCAATCTGCTGTTGTCGGGGTAACCTTTACACCCGACAGCTTTACAATTGTTTAGTTTTCAGTGTGACTGACAGAGCGCGTCAAAAAAAACAACTTTTGGCTGTTTGCGATAACTTGAGAGGCAAAGCATCTGCTTATCAGGCTAATTTTCTTAAAAAACTTCCTCTCGACGCTCTAATCCTCATTTTATTTTTCTGATAATTTTTTTTAAGTATGAAGGTTGTCAGGCTATGTGTTTGAGCACACCTTCCCTCCTTATGCGCATTTCCTTTAAGTGTGCTGGTAATGAATTATTTTAAACGATTTTTGGCGTTTAATTCTCGCAAAAATGTTTCAATTACACAAGGAGAAAGGGTACATGTTCATCACCTCCTGAACATCTTTCAGCACCATTCTGTTCTTTCTGCACAATATGTATACCTCGGATGTTGCAGGGATGCAGTCACAAGAAATAAAGTATTACGTGTAGTATCAGCTTTCAGTTTAACAAGCCCTTTTTTTTATTAAGTTGCCTTGAACGCAACTCAACATTTTATTTTCTCTATTCTCGTATGTTGAAATGCATCAAAGATTTGTCTTTTATTCCTGACTATTACACTTTTTCATTTCTTTTTTTTTTCATCTACACTTACACTCAGAGCTATAGCTCTTAAGTAGTGGTAAACATTTATCTAATGTAACAACAAAGGCATATGAGAGTTAAAAGTCACTTTTGCTAAGGCCTATTCCCTAAAATTTTCTTCCATGGAACAATTCTAAAACCCCCCTGATTAAATACTAATTACTGTTGGCCTGATATAAATTTATCAGTTTACTTTTTTCCGTTTTCCAATGAAACTCAATATTGAACTTGACTTTCCGAAAATCATTTCACATACTGAATATTATACTCTACATGCTTCCTCTGCTTTTATTTTGGGTGGATCGATGCTTGTTATACATGTTTGTAATGTCTTACCATAATTCTTGTCATCCATGATTCATTTCAGATCTTAGTTATGTCATATGGTTTTATTTTATAATGAAAACCGTCTCATTATTCATCATTTGATGAGATAGGTAGATTGTGCAATATTGTCATCACATCACTTTTCTTTTATCGCTCAGCTTTCTTTTAGCGCCATGACTTTGTAAGTTTTTCATGACAGCACAAGTCCAGCAAGCTCCAAAAATATTCAGTTAAAAGAACTTTCTGTCTCTCTCTTGTTTGCCTTTCTTTATACGCATGAATTTATAATCTGTTTTACTTAGCCTTTTGGCTCTTTTATTTTTTAAATGTATTTTTATTTTAGCATATTTACACTTTTTCTAAAGTTACTCTGTTTGGCCTTTATTGCTGATGTGTAGTTGGCAGATTTTCTTTACTTACTTCAGTCTGTTACCTCAGGTCTCTTCAAGGGCTTACTGTTTTTCTAACCTTTATATTAGAATATTATTCATTACAATGAAATTCTGTCATGAAAACGCAGCAACAAGATATGTAATAATTCAATGATCGTTATTTTTTACAAGTTTATTTAAAATTTTTTAACAGTACCCTACCCAGTATTTTAAAATTATTCTTCAAAGAGGCGGTATTAGTCTTAAGTCGTTTGTATTTATTTTTTAATGTCTAATAAGTTATCCAGCTACTAAATGTAAGCTTATATTTATTCATAATTTATTTTCTTACACATGTACGTTTTGTTATTGGTTCAATAAAAGTTTATTAATATTTCATTTTTGTGAATTAATTTCTCCAGATTTCCTTGTATTAACCGAGTCTCACTTCTTTCTTTTTAAATGCTGAGTAACTTTTTCTGTCTATCTTCCTGTCTGTTTGTGCAATATGGAGGACACTTCTCTTTTTGAGCCATGGAGAACAATACGCAAATCTGTGGGGAGGAATTGATTAAGTTCCCAAGTAGTCATGGAGCCGATGGATGACGCATCATTAAGGATTTGCAGTGTCATGGGTGGTCCAGTCTGTCTTCTAAGCAGAGAGCAGTTTCAGCCCCCCCAGGGAAAAATAAAGCAATGAAAGTAGCCACCGATTTGGATTTCAAGTAAATCCAGCCAATGAATTTAAAAAAATTGATCGATACTCAAAACTAAGAAGACAATTTTGTTTAACCATCGACTCTTGTTGTCCATTTTCGGAAATTTTTACCCTGTTTAAGAATGCTTTGGTTGAAACAGGTTTAATCCAATTAAGTAAAGAAACTTCAGGGACGCGCAGATCATCAACCTGAGCAAAATGTTTTCAATCAAGAATCGAAAGAAATTACAATCATGATTCTGACCAGTTGCATAAGCTCCATCATTGATAAGCGTGATTCCAACCTTCTTGGATCGGAAGGGAAAAAATTCTTCAAGCACTATATGTGGACATACATAGATACATTGAGATTGTGGAAACTCGATTACGTGGCTTTAATACCACTGCAATGAGTTTTCAATGGTTTCTAATTACTTAAACGAACACACTCTCGAGAATTTGAAAATTTAAGATTCCAAAATGCACTTTCTTCTCCAAAGAATTTGATCTTACTGATAATAAATTGATAGCGTTAGCAGAAATGCAGAGAATCCCAGTGACTAGATATCACTTTCTCCGTCAATTTGAATATTGCGGGCTTACTTCTGTCGAAGTCATTAGCCAATCAGCGCAGTTTTCATCAAAAGTAACTAACCAATGAAAATCTTTGCTCGGATCTCTTCCGCTGTTGCCTGTTTTATATTTATATTTGTTAATTGTTGTTGTTTTGTTTGCTTTGCAATCAAACCTAACCTCTCTTGCATTCTGCCAGTCGGTGAAGTCAGTTCCACTACTTATATTCTTTTGTTTGACCAATTATGAATTAGATTTCCACCTGAAATTACTTTACGTTACAGTATCTTTCAGAGTGTGGGCTATTAGTATTTTCATAGGAATCCATTTGGTGCAACATGAGGCCTTTGAATGTGCTCAGTTCCATGAACTTCGTGGGACATAAAACACTACCTGGTGACAAAAATTTTCTATCCTCAGTAATTTATGTTTGTTGAATAGTAAGCTTGGTGTCGCATGTTATCAATCGCTGATAAGCTTATGTCATTCATTGTGTAAAAGTGTTCTGTATTATGTTTATCGGACCATGAAGAAGTACCGACAACTTGCTTTGATTCTGATAACGACTTTCAGTGTAGGTACACTGTTGATGTACAGGCATGAGTACTTGAAGCTTAGATATGTCCTAGAAGTCCTCAATTTTTTCGGATCACCTCAAGAAACTTTTAACAGCAACTGCGCTGTTTTGAATGAAACATTTTTGGATCAAAAACAAAGGCACTACAGATTCTCCAACCCTCCTCCAGCATGGACGAAAGTTGACCAGCATTATATCTACTCAGCATTTTTCAAAGGTTATAAAGATAAAGATCTCATTGAAGCGATAGCAGTTGGGCCGCATTCTAATTTTTACAATTTTAATTGCCGCGTATGGTTTTCTAATAATGGGGTCATCAACTCAATCAGAGGAAAATTTCACTTCACAACTGTCTATCACTCCAAATCCAAAGAAACTAACATCATGAGTCTCTATATGTACATGTTATTTTGTGAACCAGAAGAAAATCATGACACAGTATATGGAGCCCATGAACCTTACGGTGTTATTTTCACAAATGGCTCAAGTGTCAACTCGCGTGTCTTCATACCAGTCCACCATCAAGTTTCAGAAGTCAGCACAAATTGGCAGTCAGTGATGTGCGTGAGACCAGACAAATCGGGTCTTCAGAACTCTGCACTTGTTGAGTTTATAAGCTTTCATCGCAGTATCGGAGTCTCTGATTTCATTGTCTATGATAGCGGTGTGCAGCATGGGATCCTACCTATTTTACAATCATTGGCTGGACGTGATGGGTTTAGTGACAGCATTTCAGTCATGACATGGAATTTCCCATTCTCCGATGCTTTTATTGAAGACATGGTCATACAACACGATTGCTTGCTCAGGGCAGCAGATAAAGTTCCGCTAATTATGGTGTCCTCATGGCAAGACTACCTTATCCCTAAAGTGAATAATTCATTAAAGCATACACTGGCTCCCTACATAGCTCAGCAATCACCCGTTAGTCTAAAGCTCAGCAATTTTGTATGTTGTACAAATTACCCTGACAATAAGCAATCCCAGTTATCCTGGCCAATGGCCTTACGGAAAACTCAGTGCCTAGACCCTAACACCCTCATGAACTCGATTTATATTCATTTTGACAAGTATGAAAATTTAAATTTAGGTTTAAAGAAAAAATTAAGATCTGAAGCACTACCTTTGACTGCTGGTGTGTTGCATCAATATATTGACTGTGATAACTATCTATCCAAACTAAAACTAGTCACCGATAAACCAATTTTAGCGAAGTTTCTCGGCAACTTCATGACTGATAAGTTATTAATATTATGGAAGTCTGGCTCTTTAACCAAATTAAGGCATTCCAATATTGTTGGCTTGAATTTGCAAGATTTTCTCTCTTAACTTTAATATTTATCATGTGATTTGAATCACTTGGGCAAGACTTTCATTCATTCTCAAGATTCATTGCGATCTTTAGATTCATTCTTCACAAATTAAGTATGCCTTATTGTTTTTCAAGCCCAGTTTTTCTGATAGTAGAATCGAGAGGGTAATTGGAAAAAGTTTGACAGTCTATAATTTTTTTCAAACGCAAGCAAACTAACCTAGACTTCAATGAACAGATGAATAAATCGACTGGCCTCAAACTTTTCAAGCTTTACTTCTAATACTTAATCCAATCATTCTTCTTCTGTTCAGTGTACGATTGTATAGCTACTCTTGGGTAGTTTCATGCACTACTTTTGCGTAAGACGTCTTTAAATGTAGCATCCCTGACTGATTCTGAGAGCTAAGCTTTGAGATCTTTTACAGACCATCCAAGATGAATGCATTGTAAGTTGAAACCTTTTGGTTTTATAATTACGGACCATCTCTCACTCCAGTCTATTTTTAATACATTTTTTTTTTTTTTATGACTCTTTACTAATAGTCTTCCTACTTGATACCTATACTATTTTTGCAAACTTAAGTCATTATCAGATTTTTACAGCATTGCTCAGTCATTCTTAAATACATTGTTCAATCTAACTCATCAGAATTTTTTCTTTTGCCCCATAGGATCATGGAAACTATCGTTAAAATTGTGAAGCATGTGTGTTGTGAAAATATTTACAGTAGAACCCTGGCTTATCAGGGTAATTGGGACTGGAGGTACTGCTAATAATATGAACTTACAACCCCTGGAATGAAATATTACCGTATAAGTCGTTTTTTGCAAATAGTACAGTAGTAAGTATGCTCAGTAAACTTAAGCAAGATGATGAAAAATTTTGTCATTTTGAGTACAATTTGATTATACATGAAGAAACTTTGAATGGTCGTATGTCCCATTGAGCCGGAGTAACGATTTTTCACTGATTTCACCCTTTTTTCGCCTAAGAAACTAAACCATGAATGCTTCAGATGGTCGCAAATAGTTAGGGTTCTACTGTACTTGTTAAGGAGCACATGGAATTCGGATTTGTGCCAAAAGAAATGCTAGTGACTTTTCACTGACTTGATCAATTCATTACTTTCTTTTCATTGAAAGATGAAACCTTTCCTGAAAAAATTTGAACAACAAACATTTCTTATAGTTAAACGAAATTTCACTCTAATCCTCTATCCTTCTTCTCTAAAAACAGCATTTATAGATACCTAATTGAAAAACTTTTTAGCCAGTTATCTATCTGAGTACGTAGACAAGGTACGATTGATGCCCAGCATTGGCTTGTCTGTAAGTAACCAAATGCCAATCTGAAAAAGTACTCGAAAATTCATGAAAAAATTTAGAATTATACCATAATAGCCAATGAATTTTTCTCTAAAATTCCACAGTTCTTTAGAAGGGATTTGGAACAGTCGCCAGCATTTCATGAGATCTGTATTTCCTGTATTCCTGTATTTCCTATGCTCTTTCAAATGATTATATTGGAAAATGATGATATACTCAAAACATTAGAATTGACAAAAAATATCGACAGTAAAACTGCAAAAACACAGATTTTGTTTGCGGGGTTTCAAAATCTCTACTTCCAGTCATTGTATTCAAGGAGAATAGACTGACACTGTTGCTGGAAATTTTCTTGAAATATTCTTCACACAGAGGTGATAAATCAGGTAATTCACTAAGAGATAATGTCTAGTATTTTTAACAAAATAGATAATGATTAGAAGGCTGCAGCATCGCAAACCGAGTTAAACGTATTTGCAGTTTCTCTGTCGATACATTTTAATGGCCTAAAGTGAAACAACGGATCTCCATTTCAATGTTTCAAAATTTCCTCTCCTATTCAATTTTTTCCAAGAGAAACAAGCTAACTTTATAGCTTGAAATTTATGTAGAATTTTCTTCTGACAGAGAAGAAAAATTAAGGAAGTGTTCACGAAAATATGTTCTTGACCCAAAGGCTCTTGTTCCAAAAGAGAATAAATAAACTAATCTCATACTCTCTCTCTCTACTAATCTCATCTCTCTATAACTCTTTTTATAATCTCTAACTGGGAATCTGCAACGTCACAGAGGGAGATACGTGGTTTCGCACATAGGCCATTGATTTGATGCATATGCACTCCCTCATTGAGATACTCAAAAAAGTCCATGCAACATGCTTTACGTCTGGCTTCCACATTGAATGTATTAAGTAAAAATGCATGCTGTGTATTTTCTCACTCAATGTGTAATTCCGTCTTAAACTGCTTTTGTTTAACGCTGATGCTTTTTTTTCTATGTGCAGCATTGCTTGCTCCTGTTTTATACTCTGCAAACAAACTGGCATTAATTTTTTCCACTAATGCTAATTTCAATAATTTAATGATTGTTTTATTAATTGTCGCAAATTAATATCTCAAAAAGCCACTGTAATTAATCAAAATAGTTTGCTGAAGTACCTAGGGGCTGTTGATAAAATACGTAATGCTAAAAATTGGACACCCCCCCCCCCCACCCCTCGGTAGAGTACGCACTCGGAACAGGTGTGGGTCACTGTATTTAATTACTTGCGCTTTGTTTGACTCCCTCCAGCTGGCGTTTCATGATGAACTTTGGCAGAAAATTGCCACTCTATGTCGATTTTTCATCCTAGATTTTCGAAAAATCAGCGCTACATGCCCATTCTAACGTAAAGAACGCAACGCAGTCCTGAATGTCCCCCTCCCTGCGACACACCCTGAATGCAAGCTCTGACTCCCCCCCCCCTCCAGAGCATTACGCACTTTATGAACGACCTGTAAAAAGACAAGTAGGTCGATTGCCCAAGAGGCTAGGCTAAATTCATTAGCCTCTGTGTCTGATTGTGAGTTTTATTCTAATGATAGTCATCACTAACAGCTTCGATTGGATCGTCAACCATTAACATTTTCAGGAGGCTCTGTGGAAAATTTGAGGTCAGCCATGTATTAGAAAGTCATCGCAATTACCCTTAAAATAATTTCACTTCCACCCAAATTTGCTCCATTAAAGATGAAAAATTGAATTTTGTACACAAATCCCTGGATTGCATTCATTTACTCACGATTCGAGCATATGCATTCAGATTCTAATTTTTACTCATAATCATACAATTTTTTTTTTTCAATTTGATATATTTATGTATCTACCTTTAAGTGATAGAATTTCTACCAAACATAATCTTGTTTATTTTTTAGTCTCGCTAAGACACAATATATTAAGAATGTAGGTGAGCTAATGTATATTGGACTGAATTTTCCTTTTTCTTGTCTTTTGGAATTTGTGTGAGTCTGCCGTCCAAAGCAAAAAAAGCTGTCACCTCATTCTAGATTTTTCCATTTCTCTCTGACTAACTTCTCTAAGGCAAGAAAATCACTTTTTTCATCAATCACTCACAACATATACTTCAATTTGTAGCATGACTGTGTCATGCTATTGAAACTTGTATTGAAGAGATAAATATGAGAGTAGCCTGACTAATTTGTAATTGAACATCTTGTTTTTAAAAATAATATGGCAGATCGTAAAATGGAATCATATTTTTGCTTTGTGCGGCAGGATACTTTGTTGTAAGCACAGCTCATTCTAATCATGGAAAAATGATTGAGTCCTTGATAGGTTATCTCCTTTAAGTGCTCCAACACAACAGAAAAAATTTCAGTTTCAGTCACAATTTACTCAAAATACGAATTTGATCTCACAAATATTGTAAATGACTTGACAAGTTTAACATTTAAATAGATATATTCATGCCAAAATCTTATCCACTTATTCTTGCCCTAAGTATCAAATTGTTATAAGTAGATAGAGGGGAAAGTTAGGTCACTTTAAAGGAGTATGTCATTCAGTGCTTGTAAAAATTTTGCTCTCCACACCCATAGTTCATAAATAGATCCATCACGTCTACCAAAACTTTATGAGAGATTAAAATTAAAGAAAATTAAAGAACTTAGTCGAAATGTTGAGCCAAATACAAAACTGTAGGTAGAGTACCATTACCTTCATATTGAGGGATACAGTAAAATTAGATAACTTGATATTTTGCATAATTTGCCGTCTGGCAAAATTCGTTACCAAATTGATACGTCTCCTATTTTCCCAAAATCTACATGCAAGGGAGCAGATAATATTTTTCCTCAGAAATTTTCACGGAATCCTGATAACTACATATAGTTCTCACAGTTTTTTTCAGTCTGACAATGACAAGGAAGTGACGGAACCTTTGGGTAGTAAAAGAAATGGTTCAAATATCCTATTATTTCAAAGGCTCCCAAGTTCACTAAGAGTCCTTAAGTTTTTATTTACTGCTCCTCTGCTTATTTAAAAAAAAACTAGGGTATATTCCTTACTATTTTAAAACCCTGGTGGAATGTTTACTCTAATTTAGTGCATCCCCAGCACCTGTTTTTTCGTAGCGTAATAACTTCTTAATTCAATAGTTCTGTATCCTTTTACTAATACGTCAATTAGTCAATTTTACATGGTAGTGACGGAATTTTATTGCTGTTTTAAAGAGATCCGAAGAGACCAATGTAAGGGTGTTCAAACGAATTTTTTATGGTAAACTACCGATAATATTTTGTTTCGAAATGCGAATTTGCTTTGTTAAAAGCACTATTGTTGAAACTCTGAGGGCCTTGAATCAAAACGTCAGGTGTACCTGTCTGTAGAGTTGATTGGCCTTCGGAGCGGATAAACAAGGCAACAGCTCATTTTCATTAGTTTCAAAAACTTCAATTGTCAGTGGTAAGCTTTTCCTTATTATTACTACTTCTCAATGGAACTGTTATAATAGCTTCACCAAAAACCGATTGAACACCCCTAGACCAATGATTTTTTTGGTACTTGACAAAAAAGCCAGCCCCAAATCCTTGCCTGATCAGTTCATATAATTAATCTCTCATGATGAAAAATTAATGCCCTTTGAGAAGAATTCTACCCGAAGACCTCCTCTCAACTTCAAATAATCAAATCATGAAGCAATTTAATACATCTTGTTCTAGTCAGACATTTTTGAATCCATATCCATTTAGCTTTCAGCTTAGATGTGAAATGATACATTACAACGCTCTACACGAACGTTTGCACAAATAGTTTTAGGAAATTATTTGTTTAGAAACATTTGAACATTTTTTTTTTTAGTTCTCTTAAGGAATAAGGAGGATACTCTTGGTGCTCTATTTGAGAAATGAAACCTGAAAGATGTAGATTTTAAGGATATTCTCTCAAGACTTGATATAGATCAACGATGTAGGCTCCTGGCAGTTTTGTAATACAAGACACAATAAGCCAAGAGTGGACATAGTCCAATTCTTTCATTTTCCTTCAGTTATATTAATACTGTTCCATGAAAACATAAATACACTAGATGACTTCCAAGAATAGTTAGCTCTTTATCTGGCAGATACCCGGATAAATTTTATTAAGCCCTCAAGTCGTGAAACAGCAAGATAGTATCTTGTGATTTGTGCTACTTTTATGGCAGGATCATTTTCTTTTGTAACTATGATCTGCACAAGAATCAGGTTATTGTCATTTGTATGCAACTGACTTATTCTCTATTAAAATTATAAATTGTAGTTCTCTTGTGTGAACTGTTCATATTATTTGTACTTCTGTTACGGAGGGTATAAGACAATACCTCTTTTGAATAAAGTTAAAAAATAAACTTAAACTTCTGATTTTTCATTTTTCATCATGATAGTTGTCAAGGTTTCGATCAAGAATGAATTGAGAAGAGAGAAACTAAATTAAAAATTAAAAATTTGAGACAATGAAGTGGAGATCTACTTGAAAGGAGGGTAGCTCACTACAAACTTTGTTGGTACTAGCATAGCGATAGCTAAGGAACAATCCTGCCTAACTGGAATTTTGGCAAAAATAAGCAGCGACTTCGCCTTATTCCACAGTATAAAATACGCAAGCTGGTGTTTTTTAGTTTTTTTCAATTCTGCATGAAAGTCTTGGAATGATGCTTAATGTATAATAAAAATTGCTAAAACCTCAAAACAACAAAAATGGCGAAATTTTCTCTTCAGCCTGTAAAATCGTCATTTTTCTGATAGGCCATATTGTTCCTCAGCTATGGATAGCTAAGGCCTTGTCCACACGAGCGCGGTTCAAGAAACTAGTTCGAGGAACTCGTTCCGCGAACAAGTTTCTGCTGAGCTAAAAACATATTCCTCCGATCTATTCCGAAGTAGGAACTTTGTTATTGTTGTGACGTGATCTGTTGTTTATTTACATTCTCCCGTTATTTCATCCTGCATTTTCGTGAGTCCGACAAAGGTAAGTCTGATTTAATTTGAATCTTAAAGCAAATTATCAAAGAGGAATGAAAATTTGCGGCTAATGAAGAAAATTCTATCCCTATACTCTGTCATAACCTTCAAAATTCCCGCCATCATGTACACGAACTTTCGGTTCCAGTTCAGACGAACTCGTGTGGACAGCATGCCTCGTTTCAAGGAATAAGTTCCGGGAACTGAGCAGTTCGAGGAATAAGTTTCCGCGAACCGCGCTCGTGTGGACAAGGCCTAAAAATGCACTATCTGTGTATCCCAATCACTCAAAATTGTGTCTATGTAAATGGCCAATGCTGCAATTTTCGACTTAGTTTTCCTTAAATGACTTAAAATTAGTGATATGAGGCCTATTGATATTATCAGTAAGAGAGTGCCCTAAAAGTTGAATTTGCCAAGTTTCATGTGTTCTTGTGAGCTTTAGAATGGACTATGTTGGCTTTGACTATTGGCTAAATTTGAGTCAAGTACCATTTTTCTTTAGGCTTTAGATAGAGGGCCAATGAAGTTAAAGGAACGACAGACTTGCGGTAATAATTTAGTTTTTTAATATTTATAAATACAGATAGCAGAAATATGAAAAAAGAACACGTACAAAATATAAATAAAGCTTCATATCAGGCACATGAATAAAGTTATTTATTGTTCGACATTTGATTGGGGGAAAACATTAATATCAGTTGGGGTTGAAACAGAAAAATGCTTATGTAAACTACCGATTGTGGACATATTTGGCACAGTTAGATTCAACTTCAAACAAAAACGGACACAACAAGGCGCTGCCTTGTTTCCTAGGTTATTTCCATGAAAATAATTGCTGAACTGTGTCGTGTGAAAAAATCTGCAATTAAATAATTTCCTCAAAACGGATTGCTGCAACCAAGAGACTCAACTCCAAATCGTGGACTTGGTCAACTTTCATTCATCCAGTCCATTAATGTTTTCTTGAAAGCTCTGCAATTAAGTTCAAATTTTGTGCGACTGACAGTGTGTTCTTCGGAGTCAAGGCCTTGAGTCAAAGTTAAAACATACTATGTTCACTGAAAATCAGTATGAGCAATTGAGTTGGTTCAAATGTGACGCATGAACACAAAAATTTAAATAGAGAGTTCAGTTGTTCAGAATTTTTTATTCTTATTCCTCACATAAATAACACTCTCCTTTTACACAAGTCGTAGTTGGAGGTAAATATTCTATCACATTTGGGAATTCTAGCAAAATGCTCACCTCAGTGTACGAGTGCTTTGCTCGGTGAGTATTTTTTTCTGACACCCAACACAAGTTCAGTTAATTTAATGCAATTGACGCCTACACATTTAATAGAGGGAATTAAAAAAACTGAACAAGCAAAAACACCTACTTTCACGAGTATAGTGTGTAGAAATAGCTAGAAAAAAAAAAAAAAAAAAAAAAAAAAAAAAACATGTTGAGTGAGAAAAAGTCACTTTTTCACGGCCACGGTAACCATCATTAACATTTAAAACCAGAAATGCTGTTTAAAGGCATAAAAAACCAAATATTGAATTCATCACACAATAAGAGAATACCAGCTTTTTTCCTACTGATGTTATAAATTTAATGGGCGGTAGCTTTGATACGCAGCATGTGATAGAGAGTAGAAATTATGGAAGGGTCAATGTCAACCTGACAGCTATGATATTTTTACGATGTTCCAAGCTAGATAATTTAATGAGTTGACGTAATTTTGGTTAGCAATCACTTGCAATTCTCAAAGGAATCCTTTGAATGGCATTCCAATTTGAAACCACTGACAAATCTTGAAGAATCCTTAAATTTGCGTGTCTAAATTAATCCTTAAATTAATTTTCACTATCTTGAGAGGCTCTTACATTCTCTAACACATGCGTTGTATAAAATGGAATGACACCGAAGAAAATCAATTAATATTATGGACTCATGTATATTCTTAACAACAATCATTTTAATGGATGCACGCATCCATGATTTTTAACGACGATTTTGGTTTAAGTTCTAATAATGAATTACTTTCTTGAGTTTTACAATCAAGTGAAAGTACTTAAAGGAAAGCAAAAAGGGGCACAGGCAGAGGGAGAGTGAAAGATACAATCAGGTGCCAAATGGTTAACTTTTACGAAATGGAATACTCAATAAGTATTTCAAAGAAGATGAATTAATGTCGGGGAAATAGTTGAAAAATAAAAAAATTGGGAGTTCAGACCAGGCATATATTGGTAACACTGTTTCACTTCCCTTTGGAATGATATCTTTCTTTCTCCTCTCGATGAAATCATAGATACTCTTGTAACTTCAGAGTAGAAAAGAAACAAACCTTCAAACATATAGGGGGCGTGACAAAATTTTGCTTCAAGACAATGACTTAGCAACATTGAGGATGAAAAACCATTCAAATAATAATGAAGCTACGCTTAAAACCTGCAAGTTCTCCTCTTGCTGGGGAAAAAAATGTCCAAAATTACTGACATGAGGGAGAAAAAGAAATTTGCCACCAAAGGGAAGAACTTCTTCAGAAACGTAGATTATGTTAAAGTACAAGATATTTTGTGTATTGGACCATCAGTTGGGTACTTGCTCTGAACTTAAAAAATCTATTTACAATGAAGAATAAACAAAAAACACATTCACTCCTCAGCAATTAAGATTTAAATAGTAAACCTATGTTATAAAAAAAAATTTAAAAAAACAAACAAAGAAGGACAATAATATCTCAAAAAATGTTTGACCGTCTTTTAGTATGCATCATTCATGGCTTACGAATGCCATTGAAAGTTTTGAGTAGGTAGATCAGAAGATGAATGATATTCATTGCATCAACAACTCAGTTTCGCTCACATGACATCAATGTCCTTAAAAATGAAATCCTTCTGATTAAAATAAATGTGAAAAGACAATCATTTACTCCTGGTTAAATGGACTGTGTTTAACAGAAAGGAACCAAGCCACATAAGCCATTGCCAAATTTAACAGGGACATTTGATTTTTTACGAGAGAACATTTGTGCAGATTCCTTTAAAAATTTTAAGGAATTTGCTTTGTTTTATGGAGCAAATTCACTGAAATTTGCACAAAAATGTGCACAACCGCTTTCATGTAAAAAATTAAATTGCCCGATTAAATTTGGCAATAGCTGATGAGGCGTGGTTCCTTTCTGTTCAACGCGGTCCAAATGAAAATAATTTCAAAACTATCATTCAAGACTGTTACCTTCTAAGTAAAAATGGCAGCCTTTAAGTTACGTTTTTGAAGTCCTCTTCATCATGATTTAAGTGGCAATAAAAATTGTGCCATTCCAACAAAAATGCTAGATCTAACAAAAAACAGCAAATTAAATTGTAAAATTACTGTGCCAGAAAAGTTCAACATAAAAAGGAAGAGATTCAAAAATTGAAAAATAAGAAACTGTACCTTTGCAGTAAGAAAGAAGTGTACAAGCTGAATACAACTGAAATGTCAGTATGAGAAACTTTGCTTTTACTAAGTTTGACCTGGATTCAAATACTTCCTTAGGCGGTTTGTGCATTGAAAAGACAAAATATATTACAAAATAACCCAAAACAGCTACTTGCACAGAATAAGTAAGGGGGAATTTGTGCCGCGCACTGCTTCGGCAAAAGCTTATTTAGTCCACCTGGAACTCATAAAATTACCAGTGATTGAAAGGAATCTCTGAATCTTAGGGGTGGTGATCCTCTCTAGTTTGAAAATAGACAACTTCTAAAAGAATTCATGGAAAAAAAAAGACGAAGAAAGTTTCAGAAAAAACAATGAGGTACGGAAATTTGGAAAAACCTGAGAATAAGTGATGAAGTTAGAGTTAAATGATTTTCAATAGGTTACACATTAATATTCACACATTTGCATCAGACTATTGTAAAAATAAAATTAACAACTTTGATAAAAAGGCTAAGGTACGGTAAAAACATTTTGCTCTTTTAGTCTACTAAATTGAGCAAAGCTCAAATTTAAATGCATCTTTCAAGCATGACATATACACTATGATCATACATCCATTTATATTTAATTAAATTTTTAGATAAAATGCTGTTCCTGAACAAAAATTTCTACTTCAAAAATTTGGTGAAATAATAAAAGGACTTCATCATTAGAAAATAGAAGTTGTAAGTAAAAACTGGCGTCCTTTGCTTTTCCTTGTTTTTAAAAAATAAACAATAAGCTGAGAAAGACATACAATATCGCACATACATTTATGCAAACATCAAATGAAAAAAAAAGTTTACACAAAAGCTCCATAGCAAACTTGGTGAGAAAAAAGTAATGAAGTCTTAGGAAATCTGAGCTTAGGAGTCGAAGGGCAATTATTTTTCGTAGGAGGTTTTATCAAATGACACATGTTATAGAATTGAAGGAGCTAAGAGTAACTCCTCTACAGTAAAATGTTTATTTTCTTAGATTAAATGGAGGGAAAATTGATACCACTTTAAGATTTACTCTTCTGTCTCTTCAATCTAAGTAAGGAGACCATTCTCTGATCAGCTCACTATCAGCCTCCAAGATGTTTAAATACAAAAGTTGAACTGAAAATGCATCCTTAGTTGGAATTTATTTGATTGAAAAGTTAGACATTGATGCAAGTTGAAGAAGTGTTTTGTAAAAAAGAGACTTTCTGAGAGCAGCAAACTTAAACGTACCTCCTACTTATGTAAATTCTTACCCACGCACTTACTTATAACATAAAACTAGAAAAGGTGGTCTCTTAAAAAATAGTACTTAAGCGAGAACAAATGTAAAAAAGGTTTCACAGAATGCATGGTTCGTGACCAAGAGCTAAGTAGTATCAACAAACATGAAAAAATAAAAAAAAAAATTACGAGTTAGAAAAATTGAGTGCCATTGAAAGGAAAGCTGCGACGGTTGAATTTAAACAAAACCTGAAACAAAAAAGAAAAAATCATTAGGTTCCTCCAGTCAGCTATTAATTTTAGGATATTGACAATTATTAGGTCTGTGTAATTTTGTTCCATTGTCTTCCATCAAAAGAAAACTGTTAAGAAAACTTGAGCACTTGATGGACTCTGTGTCAGAGGCGATAGGTACCAAACGATAATGTGTTTTCAAATGATGTAATGTTTCCCGTATGCTGAACTTTCCTTAGTAAGATCACACGTGCCGCATGCGCAGCAAAGAAGGAGGGAGAGCTTTCTGCATTGTATCTCTAATTGATAGTCTAACAACAAATTTAGTGGCAATGGTTGATTTCAGATTTACTGAATTTGGTTTTTGTGCCAGAAGAAAAATTGATTCAGCTAATTTTAATGTGAACAATAAAGGCTGATCTCTTACTGAGGGATATAGAAAAAACCACAATCAACCGGTCCCAGGATTAATGTAAAGACATCTAATAAGGAGCAAAAGGTGTAGACGGCTCTACTTTTTGCAAAGGAAACTCTTAAACATGCTATTTTGAGAGAACGAAACTTCTAAGCGCTTTACTTTCGGCGAAGGAAACTCTTTGTCGGTCCTCTTTTACGCGGAGAAAATGGTGATGTGCGCAGCCCTCAATGGACAACGATGTAAAGGTAGCCTCATAATATGTGGAGACTGCCAGAAGAAATGTGAAGGCTGAAGGCAAAATACTTTTTGCACCCTTGCTCTTTATGAATTAATTTTAGAAATTTTTAAAGTTTCTGGCAAGTTTTCCTTCAAATTTTGATTGGTTAACATTTCTTTAGAGGCTTGCTTTGTTCTTACCCTACCGTTAAATTTCCATTTTATTCACTTATTTCAGTAATGTGCTTAAACTGGATATGATGGTCAGGATTTAAAGAATTATTTAGAGCTTCATTGAAGAAGTTATCAGTTACAGCACAAACTGAAAATCCTAGAGGCAGCAAAATATGAACAAAATAAATAAAAGAGAAAATTAAAAAGAAATATATAATATCAACCTATAATTCCCACACCATTTGGAAATTTAATTAAAAGAAGCAGAGAATAATAATTATTGGCCAAGAAGTGTAGTAGTTATCGTGTGTTGAAAAAAAAAAAAAAAATTGCCTGCTACCACAAAAGCTATGATTAGACATTTTGACATACTTGAACGAAGTGCTAGGAAGCTGGAGTGCTTTGAGTTCAACTAAAAAAAGACTTACTGTGATAAAATAAAACTTATGAGAGGAAACGTAGGTATTGATATTTTAGAATGTAAAAGGATAAGACTATAAATTAGGAAGAAAAAATTAAAATAAATGAAGAGATAAGAACACTCACAAAACAAAACTTTAGAGGAAGTGGTTGTCAGTTGTCCTTAAATAATTTTGATAGCCATGCCCGTAGTGAAGAGTTAATTCAGCAATGCAATTGAAGATTACGCCATTTGTTTATAAATGACGGTGGTTTCGGCTGCAGGGTAACGGATCACAACTAAACAGAATAATTATATACAACCTTTTGTAAAAAGGAGGTAAATCTTTGGCAGCTTGTCTCAAATCTCTGACTCGCTCTGTTTCCATGGATTAAAAAAACTAGACGTATCAAAATCAAAAGGATTTATCGAGGAAACACAATCTTTCCGGAGGATTTAAATGAGAAAAAAATCAATTATATGAAAAACTGCTTTCATGAAATAACAACAGAGGGAATTTACATTCTTGAAGCATTGAAACCAGGGGCTCAAAAACAAATGTACGAGCTACCTTTAATTTAAGTTGAGTCAAAAAAAATTGAACAATCTTAGAGTTGTGATCTTTTAAAGCTTTCATAATAATTATCTCAAGCACACAAAACAGCCGGATGCCATTTACAATTTTTTCACAAGTAATTTGTATAAAAAAGTCTCACTGGATTTTGTAGACCTTTCTTAAAAATGTTGGTAAAAAATACTAACAAAAAAAAAAAGGATGCTTGTAAAATTCACTGATTTATAGTGTATTGTAGAATGAAAATTATTTTTTCCTAATGGATAGAAATAATTGATATAGGTCCAACATAGGTCCAACAGACAAAGAAATCGAACTCAAAAGTAAAAATGAAGAAAAATGGAAAGAAATTGCATTTTTCTAATATGATAAAACAGGGCAAAATAATTAGAATGAAATTGAACCAATAGAGTAAAAGAAACCATAAAAATAATGTGCGACCTGAATAAAAGAAACTAAAGCCAAAATAATACAGCGGTTGTTAAAAATTACTTCAATAAAATAATTAGTAGGTAAATGAAAATTCATGGAGGCAGCGGAATGAAGAAAATAAAAGAAGCTTGTGTATATACATACATTTAGAGGCATTAGAATGATAAGGACAAAGCGAGTAGAAGCTCTACACTTGACACTTTCTATTCCACATAGAATAATGCGAGGAAGCAAATCATAAAAGAAGAGAAAAATTTCCGCAAAATCCCTTGCAAGTTTCCAACTGTTAGAAATGTCACGTTGAGAAAATAAAGGGAGCCGGGAAAAGAAGAGGAGGATCAATGGAAAACCAAGGCCGTCATAATTCTCAAAAATGCTTTTCGGAAAAAGGCAAGAATCAAGTCGAAATACTCCCTTCGATACGACAAGGTTGGCAACATCCCTTTCACATCAATACTAGAGTCGATCTATTATCTTACTCTATAACTTATACAGTCGCTACTGGTGTCATTTTGGGGCTAGCTATACAGGGTGTCCCAAAAGTCCATTCAACCCCCTCTAAAATTTTACCTAATTAATGTTTTAAAATGAAACTTTGGAGATGTTCATAGATCAATATTAGTTACTTTTGGGGCTCCCCAAAAGTTTCAGCCCCTCACCCCCATGGGAAGGGGCTACGGACTCCAACTTTTGTTTTCAAGGGGCACTCCCCTGTCCCCCCCCCCTTTGTGAACTATCAACCGAAAGAAGATAAAAAAATAAATTTTTTTGAGGGAACGTGTCCGTCCCCTTTACCTTCTCTATGAAGCTACTGTGCCGTGCTAAGGGAGAGCGCGGCATGAACATTCGAGAGTTGCCAAATTTCTTTCGATAAAATGCTTACATTTGAGGAAAATTGTGAGGAAAATTTTCATTCACTTTAGATCATGGTGTCTAGTTTTCTTGGCAAAGCTCATTCCCTGATTTTTCCCTGATTTTCAAGAGCTCATTCCCGGATGAGAAACCGAAGTTTTCTCCCACTTTACCGCGGTTTTCTTGGGGAAAGGAAAATAATTTTCCAGAGTTTCAAATATGAATATAGATTTTAATTAATCTTACAGCCATTTCTTTGGCGCACATTCAAAATTTTAATTCAAAAAATGTTCCTGATGTTGATAATATCTGGTCAATGAAAGCTCCTACATTATTCTCGGTTTCTGGAACAAATTCCTTGATTTTCCCGGTTTCTGGAACAAATTCCTTAATTTTCCCGGTAAATTTTCATTCCCTGATGAATCCCGGTTTTTAAAGAACTAGACACCATGCTTTAGATCAAATTACAGACAAAATTATCTGAGAAATTCGCAAAAATTGTATTCAAAAATTTTCCAAAAACTTATTGATTTGCCAGGGGAAATGTGGCAAGACCTGAAGGTTCATACGGCGTTTTTCCTTAAGACGGCAGTACTCTAGTCGGCTCTCGTCGTGAAAATGGTGCGTACTCTCATAGAGAAAAAAAAGGAGGTGTTTGCATTTCGGGCATCTTGGAATTTTTCATAGAGTATCTATAGCTTTGATGACGTCATTGGGTACAGCGACGTTTTTATCCTGTCGATTTTCTTGGAAATGGTGTAATTTAAGGGAAAAAGTCATTCTATAAAAAGTGCTTGAAATTAAATAAAGAGTTGATTTAAGTAAAAAAATCGGACATTATGGTCCGTTTTTACAGCGTCAACATAACCCTCAACGAGCGTCTTGTTTACATTGATGACGTAGGTGGGTACAAAACCTCAAGATGCAAACACCTCCTTTTTTTTCTCTATGGCGTACTCTTACGTACGTGCTCCAGTCGGCGCGTCTGTCATTCACCGATGCGTGAGTTCCGTGCCGATGCTCCGAGCGCGGCTCAAAACTCGCGGCAATTAGTTACCACATCGTTGGCGACGAGCAGCTATTACTCCCCGAAAGGTCGATCCCGATGCAATAATTCCAAAGCTCCACCGCTGAGTTGCCGCTCCGAAGGAATAATTCGCCTACTTCACAGCGGATCTCACGGGGAAAATTCGAAAATTCGAATATTCCTCCGCGGGGCGACCATCATCATCCCGTGTTCACGCGTGTCGATCGCTAATTATTCATGCTCTGTTGCCGAATCTCCGGACACGACGCTCGTCCTAAATCGGACCACTAGACAATGGGAATTGAGAGGATTCGTTCTGGGGTCGAATTTTCGTCTGTTTCGTCCCGATACGCTCATGAATCTGGTCAAATTTTGGGTTATTTAAGCGGTGGCGATTATACTAGGTTGGAAACACTGTTAATCCTCCCTTTGAATCCATTAAAAATATCGATTTCAGGCGAGACAAGCTGCCTCGAGAATCGATTGTTTACATACTTTCAAAAGTAGGAAAAACAGCGTTGCCAAATTTCAAGAGTCGCCACAGTGTTTTGTATTTATGTCAAGGAAGGAAAACAAACTTTGGCTAGGTATGTTCTTTTGAATTTTTCAGAGCATTAGCTTCCATTTTTTTAAGCCAACAGATGATGAAATAGAATATCACCCTGCTGGAGAAGATCTTGGAAAAATTCCTCCCAGGGCCGGGTTAGGGGGTGGCCACATGGGCCGCAGCCCATGGCGGCAAATTTTGCAATTTTTTCAAACGTAGGTATCAAAAAAAATCTGATTCAGAAAAAAACATTACAAACGAGAAAAGGCGAAAAAATCTCTCATTTCCTAAGAGTTAAAGTATAGTAATTTTAATTTTTCCGTCTTTCGGTGATACAAGAGAGAGAGACAGCACCTTTCATTACTCAATTTAAGAGAGAAATCGAACACGTAAGTTGGCCTGGAACGGCGCGGCGCAGAGAGCAATGGTGACACGGACTTGAGATGAAAAGGAGAAGTCCTCGGCGCGTCGGTCAGCATGGAACACATATTAGCGCCTACAAGACTCCACGAATGCTTCACGCACTGCGTCAAACGCAGTGCGGTCAGCAGCGGTTGGCGTGAAACGCATGGCGCTTACAAGGCTGTATAAATACTTCACGCATTGCGCCAAACACGGAGCGGTCGGCGGTCAGCGCGGCGTGAAAAGCATAGCGCCTACAAGACTGCAGGAATACTTCACGCATTGCACCAAACACAGTGTGGTTGGCGCGGCGGCGGAAGTTAAAATTATTAGACCATATTCATGGTTATTCTTTCATAATTTTTTCGTTCATCTCTTATTAATGAAAGGCCCTTGTCCACACAGAGATAGGTTTACGGAACTGAACTTTCGCGCAAAGTTCCGTGAACTTTTGCCAGTGTTGACAGGGCTTTCACAAAAAAAGAGTCCAACACGAGTAAACGCGATGGTAAGTAAACTCGATGGTTTGTATTGATGTTTCAAAATGAATGAGAAAGGGGCGGCAAAATACAGGCGGCCCATGGGCGGCAAGTAGGTAAATCCGGCCCTGGTTCCTCCCCATCCTCTCTTGCAAAAAAGTGATCATAATTCATTGTGAGACGTACAGTTCAACCTCAACCAAATACATTACAGCAGAATATTCTGCATACATTTTAAACCGTAATGTTTGGTTCGATTCACGGGTTTGTCGATCGATTCGCGTTCGGACTACTGAAAATTTTGAAAAATAAATAACCGGGGGAAACATTGCGTCGATGCAATTGGTCACGCCTCTTGACCTCCATCCGAACTCGATTGTGCAGGGATATCGCACTTTCAGACATTGTTCCCCAGATCAAACCGTATCCTTGCTACGGCGAAGTTGTGCGGGTGATATCCTTTCCTTGACGGAGCGGCACACGGTGGATCAAGTCAATCAGAGAGGTCGAATATGAAAGATAGGACTAAAACTGCAAATTTTGGTGTTTAATTCGTAAATTACAAATTTAAAAGAGCCTCTGCTAAAAATGGTGAGTACAAAAGAGTAGAAAATCAAAGTCATATGAATAGAATTTCAACTTATATGAATAAAATTCAACTCATTTGAGCAGAATTTCTCTATTCACTTTTCGCCGACTCATATGACTAGAGAACTAGAGGACTAGGAAATTCTACTCATGTGAGTCGGCGAATTCTGAATAGCCTACTCATCATTTTTAGCAGACTACTAGAAAAAAAAAAAGAAAAAATATCACGAGGAAACCAATGGAACCACTTTTGGAACCACAAAGTTTTGTACAAGCGGAGTTGTAAGTGTTGAAAGTTCCCGAATTTTGTCCGACCTCTCCTATTGACTCGATCCAATGTTCACTTGTGTAGCATCGCTAGTCGCTGGAAAGGGAATGGTATAAACAATGTCTGCGGCTAACAGATCAGCTGATTTTGCCCTTAA